ATGGAGGGAGGAGAGATGAATGGAGGGAGGGAGAGATGAATGGAGGAGACAGAGAGGGAGGGTGAAAAGGAGGGAGGGAGAGATGAATGGAGGGAGGGAGAGATGAATGGAGGGAGGGAGAGATGAATGGAGGGAGGGAGATGAATGGAGGGAGGGAGAGGTGAATGGAGGGAGGGAAAGATGAATGGAGGGAGGGAGAGATGCATGAAGGGAGAGATATGAATGGGAGGGGGGGGGGGAAGATGAATGGAGGTAAGGAGAGATGTGTGTGTCATTTTGGCTTTACAACGCACTCAGCTGCTAAGGCTGTATGGCGTCACCCGCCAAACCCCTGGCAGGAGCGGCGCGTATCGCGGGGAATCGAGCCCCGTACCTCTGGTTTCCCAGACGCGTAGCGTAAACCATTACACTACCGGTACCGGAACCAGGAGGGAGATGAATGGAGAGATAAGGAGACATGAATGACGGGAGGGGAGATGAATGGAGGGAGGGGAGATGAATGAAGGGAGGAGATACGAATGGAAAGAGGGGATATGAATGGAGGGAGGAATGCATGGAGGGAAGGAGAGATGAATGAAGGGAGGGAGAGACGAAGGGAGGAAGGAATAGATACATAGAGGGAGGGAAAGATGAATGGAGGGAGGGCGAGATGAACGGGGGTTGCGGACGCCGCGGCCACCTTCGTGCCTGCCACCCATAGCGAACACCGTCAATACCCACCTACATCCTAGTAACGCACACGAAGGCCTCAGCTAAGGCGCTGGTGCACACACGCACGAAACCGAGCACTACGCGGACAGTCCGGATGCAGAGGGCCATTACTGGGACCACCTGAGGACAGCCGGGTCGTGACGTCATGGACGTCTACCGCTGCTGGCGGCAACTATCAGGGGTAATCCGAAGCTGCAGCTTCAAGGCAGGTCGTTTTATTCTTTTCAAGGCTTGTTTTGCATTTGGTACCAAGGTCCCTTTTGCTTTTAAGACAAATAATTTCCAGCGAGCCGGTCCCAGCGATAGGCAGAAGGGGGAATCTGGTGGGCGCTCATTCTCTGCATTACCTATGCATGTATGGTATGTCGCCACGCAAATTCAGCCGGCCGCAAAACATCCGAATCGGTCAAAACGTCAGGAAGTAGGTGAGTTGCGTGACAGCACCCTAACACGGACATAAAGCCTGCATTGGTGGCTTATATGTCGTGGATACGGACGCATCTGTGATGCCATGCGTGACGCGCAATGGACTTTGTCGTACACCAGACACGTTTAACACAAAGCATATAGTTCAATACGCTCACATTTTGCATACCTAATATAATGCCTGTCACTCAGCACTATCTTTTATCTTGCATCATAATATCCGACTTCGCATTTCCAGGCTGGATAGCCATTATCCGGTTAATTATTTCCTTCACTAAGTGCCTTGGGAACAGGTACTGAGCCTTATAGCAAGTATTTGGTTCTGCCACCTGCTCCCACGGACGTCCCCATTCGTTTTCCAGTTCGTCACTTGTCCCACACGCGCGAAACCGTGTCAGCGTGGGAAGTGCCCTCTGTCGGTTTGGACAGTCATTCATAAATTACGTTGGATGACCGAGAGCGCCCACTGAAATGCGGCGCGAGCCGCCGCACTTCGATGCCATCTACCGACGGCGCGTCTCCCAGAGAGCACCGCATCCATGAAAGGCCGCAGTACAGCTGCCCCAATAGGCGAGCGCCAGTACTGTCCAGTGAACAGGTTGCCTACAGGAGCGCCACGTGGTTCCGCCAGCATTGCGCAGTAGCGCTGCAGATGACTGCCGCAGTAAACCCAGACAGGCAGGGTGATATGTGGTCACCATAGCGTTCCGTTGACCTGCAAATTGAACCCATCTGGGTGCAAGACGGCTGAAAACAGCCCACTTCAACGTCTTATTGCACTTTGAGCCACCGACAAATCTGACGATCAGTCAAGCAAGCAAGTTTCCGATCTAAAAGTCAACGAAACGCGCTTTAAAACGGTGCAAGTTGTCGTCTCGCTTTATGCAACACACTAGGATGCTGCGTCACATGGAACGAGACAACATCTCATTGAACCACGTGCTGAAAAAACAATAGCAAATGCATCCCTACAGGGCATTACAGCCAGTAAGCGCCTATTCAAAAGACATCTGAGCACGCTACATTACAAATGGCAGGCACCTTCCCGGGCTATCCGGTATTGATAGGGCACTGACACATTTGTTCTAAATGTGGCGTTGCTACTGCGTCTGGCTACGGCCTCCGGCTAGCCTACGGGAGCAGACATCAAGCCACGCCATTCCGAGCCGCCCGTCACGTGGGACGGGCATCGCGGGCCTACCACACGCCCACACATCCGCGTGGCCGACATCGCGTCACGCTCGGCGCGGCGCAGACAGGCACGCATCCTGAACGCACACTCTCTCTCTATCGCTTGCTGATGCCGGCCGCGGCCCACCTGGGCGCGACTGAAGGCCAGGTCCACCTCCCAGAAAATGCGGGTTGCCTCTCTGAGCACGCCCAGCGTCGAGCGGAACAGTTTGTCCATGAACGACAGCACGGAGAACGCCTGCAGGCGGGACGTGGACGTCGGGGGACGGGTGGACATCGGCACGGGCGTCGGACGTCACACACTGGCCAGCACGGACGGACCAGGTGGCGGGGCACGGCCGGGCGGGGCCGCGGGGTCGGGGGACTGCTGGCGCAGGCACGGTGATCGAGGCATGATGAGGAGTCCAGCCGCGTGGATGTCCGCACGCGTGGACGAAGGGCTGCCAGGCTCCAGAGCTAACGAATTCGAGGCAATGGGTGGGTGATCGGGGAAGGGAGCGTCGGCGCACCCGTCGCCACCAACGTGCGCAGTCAAAACATGTTCGAACTTCATTCCAAAAGCACAAAGTCATGAGCCAGCGAGCCGTGTTTCTGAAGGCAGGTCTCAGTGGCTCTCATGCGCAGTCTGGAGGCGATCACTGTAAGACCATGCGGAGGAATGCGCACAACACCACCGGGGGAAACCACCGGCAGCAGAGTAGCGAATAAAACAACGGGGTTTAACGCGAGGAGTATTCTCTTATCAGATGATAGCACGGGACACTGACCTAAACCAAATTAAGCAAACGACTGATTGGGGGCCACATATGGCCGGTGATGCATTTTTTTATATTCTTTGGTGTCACAATTTACGCTTTAAAAAAGATAAGAGCTTTGCTTGGATTAAAGGAAGTGTTCCACATCTATATGGGGTTTTGAACTGAAATAATCATCCTGGAGACCTTTCGATGCTGTTCACAATCCTACCTTTCTTATGACCTAAGCCCGTATAGTTTCTGAGCTACACGCCCGAGAAAGTGGGGAAAAGCATATCGGGGAAAATATTTAAAGTCGTCTTCGCATTCATGACGTTACACGCCGTTCAAACCCTGCCATTCCATAAGCCGTGCATTGGTTCAGGCAAAAAAAAACATAATTGCCGAGGTGTCGATCTTTGGAGTTCGTGAGCGCAATTTCTAGGTACAACGAACGTCAATTGCCTTCCAATTAATGTTGTGCAAGGTACGATGGCGTAATCAAACAATGAAGCATTGAGGAGCATATTTACTAGGCAGAGAACTGTGCTGTCTAGAGCAATCTTTTCCCCTTAACAAGCACATCAAAAGTTACAAGTGAGCTTGTTCTTATGTAATGTTTGCTTCAGTACCTCCAAATATGAAACATTCCCTTTAAAGATTTACGCATACAACTGAGAGTTCAAAGCTTCGGGAGCAATACCACCCATTGCTGATCGTAATTTCCAGTCATTCATAGCTGCCCGCCGTGAAGCCGGCCAGCTTCCCGTCTAGTCGCACTGCATCGATAAACTCAGTCCGGTACCTTTAAACATCCCTGCGGCAGGCAATCACAACATAGCATCGACCGCTGCAGTTCAGTAAAGCTATATTTGCGTCATATTGGTGTGGAGCTGTCTTGCGCGGGGCCGCAAAAACATCAGCACCGCCATATCATAGACTTTTTGGCGTTTAAAATGTACGTGTGGTGTGGTCGGGTGCAGACCAAGCCATACAAGAGAAACTAATGTAGACAATGTTTTACGAGGCAAAATGCGCTCCGGCCTGTGGATGGGCAGGATCTTCATCCACACTACGGCTGCGATGTAAAACAGGAAATAGAGACTCGCTTGCAGAGAAAAGATGAAGCATGCGGATGAGCAGGGCAGATCTGTTACGACTGTGGGAAGAAGTGCATCAAGGCATGCAGCAGGCACCTATTGCAGACAGTGATAACCTACATTACAGGCGGGGGTTAAATGTGATTCAAACAAGTTAGAGAGATGAAGCTATATCTAAGTCATTGTCTTGTGTCGGCTCTCCTGCAGGGGCAGTGATCTACAGCAGCGCAACAACATATGTTGCGAATGACGGAACGCAAACAGGAAAAGGATTGTAAGCGTCTGACAGAACCATATCATCTGAATCCGAAAGACACTTACAATACACACTAGATCAATTTCAGAATGTCTTACCGCAAACACATTAACTGTAAAGAAAACCACGCAGCTATCGGCGGCCACCGGCCACTGCGGTCGGGATCGTTCTCACCCCACCGTCCTCCGCGTCAACCTGCCATGAGCCGAGCCCCCACCCACCTCCGCTCCCGGTGTAGCTCCGCCCGTCGTCTACCTCCTCGCCGGCACCATGCCCCACCTATGACAGCCCCGATCTACCCTCCACACAATCAGCTAGCAGCCGTCCGCCGTCCGTCCCCATCCCTGTCAGCAGCGGTCCGGTCAGAGCTCCACAGACCCCCCCCCCCCCCTCTCCCCGAGCCCGTCACGGCAGTCCGCCCGTCCGTCAGCCATGTCGCTAGCATGTCCGCACCATCAGCTGGATCAGGTCCACAACCATGCAGCAGAAGCCGCCGCAACCAGCCGCCCCGCCGCGGAGGCAGGCGAGGTCGTGCGGAGCGTTCCTACCGCTCCGTGCGCGTGTCTCTCTGTGTGTGTATACCTCCATGTGATCGACGGAGACCACGCCTTCGACGGCGGCCCGGGAGCCGAACAGTATGCAGTGGTTGCTTAACTCAATGACTGGCACTAGCGCCAAGAACGAGAACGCCTAGAACAGAACGGGACGATGTCACAGGGCCGCGCGCCGCGCGTCGACTGACTGATGTCACGGCTGGCGTCGCGACTGGTGGCACGCGGTGTCCCGGCTGGTGCCACAGGGTGTCCCGGCCGGTGTCACAGGGTGTCACGGCTGGTGACACATGGTCCGAGACGCGCTGGCCGCGGGCGGCGGAGTCTAGCGCCCATCGTGCATGAACGAGGAAACATCGGCCACGCCATGCACCCAGGCTCATAACGGCTCCCTTCGGACAATGCAGAGCAGCAGCTGCCTGGAGAGGGGTCGCGTATCCATTTAGGGATCCTCAGCTAGTAACGAACCAGCATAGTCTTCTGATCCCTCCCCTCCTCCGGGCTTCTACCAGCAATCCTTACATCAGTGACCTGTGCATATGTGATGTGACCCAGCACCGGCCGTCACTGAGCCCGCAGCAGGTAAGCTTACTTCCCACACAAAGACGGCCAGGGGCTAGACTGGCCGAGCTTCTTCAGAGAACCGCCGCGATCACAAATAAACACACCTGCATAAACAATGTCAATGACTGGCATCCCCCTCCGTGGGACCGTGCTGGGCACGACCCAGCACATGGCCGAGATGCGAGCCCGCTGGCAGCTCCCCTCGGCTCTACGTCAGGACCGACGCGACGCCGACGCCGACGCCGACGCCGACGCCGACGCCGCCGCTGCCGCCGCCACAGCAGCAGCAGCTCTGAGACAGCCTGCGTCACTCAGTCGACAAGGCGCTGCACGAGCTGACTCGGAGGGCGCACGGGGAGCGTGCGGCCACAGCGAAGCCGCGCCGATGCGGCACCGCACCCGCCGCCGCCCTGCTCTGAGTTAGCCGTATCACGTCGCGCTGGTCCACGCTATTCAGATCCTCCTCTTCACAGCGAGCGGAGCGGTCACCAGATTTGAGAAACGGCCTAGTTCCATTCAGCTCAGTTGGGTGAGCTTCAGGCGACCCGGGAGCTATCCGAGATACCGACAGTAAGTGCTCAAGTCGCCCGAAATCGTCTTAATTAAACCGCCTAGTCTGAGAGTGGATCGTGTTGCAGGGGAGGGCGTACGCCAGCCTGCGAGGCGTCCAGCCTGCGAGGAGTCCAGCCTCCTGCAGCAGGTGCCACGCCGCCAGCGGGGCTCGCACCGCCGCGCGGCGCCCGCGCCGCCAGCGGGGCCCGGCCACCTGACCTGCGCAGCCGTCAGGTTGTAGCCAGCAGCGACGTGCGACAAGAAGGTGACGATGGCGGCGATGACGGGCACGGTCGGCGCCAGCGCGATGCTGACACTCTGCACGTAGGCGGCCTTCTGCAGCAGCGACCGCTCCGACGAGCGCGCCTCTGGCGGCCGGAGGTGGCAGAGGTCAGGTCACAGAGGCGTCCCGTCATGCCACGGGGCTGCCCGGGTCACAAAGACACAGGAACACGCCCCAGATGGCTGACGCTCCGCCCGGCGACACGGGCACCCTCTGGGTAATACAGGCACACTGTCAGGTCAGCGAGGCGTCCTGCCTGGTGGTCGAGGTTTCCCGGCAGGTCCCAATGGCAATTCGTTAATTGCAGCCACTCCAAACAGGTTACAGGTACGGCTCGTCGTCAGACGGGCACCCGGTCATGCCACAGACAGCACACCGCGGTAGATAAATTCAGCTCGGTCACGTGTCAAATCAATACGAGCAGGCCAGAGCACACTGAAAGGCAAGGACCAACGAGCCCTCCATCACCGTGTCATACTTCGCGACGGCAGCATTCCGCAACATCGAGGAGCGAGGACTCGCTCTATGTCCGCCGCAATCCGGGCGGGCCGCCTCCACAGACGCGGCGCGTGGCAGCGCCGTCGCCGAACAAGCACTAACCGGTGATGCGCTTGACGAACGTGGCCTCCCACGCGTACTGCTTGATGAGTTTGATGGCCGCCAGAATTTCGTTCATCAGCTGGACGCGGCGGTCCGTGACGACGATCGTCTTGCGGCGCAGATAGCCCGTCACCCGGGACAGGCCGAACTGGGGGCGGGAGACGTGCACCACTCACGTGCACCACACATGCACCACTCTGGAAATCTAGCGCGGGACCACATCGAGGACTGCGGTCACGTGACCTTCAGCACCAAAGTCAAGCCGAATTTGGAAAACAAACACGCGACTCCCGCTACCCGGCACCAGGGACACTGAAGGCGTTCTCTGGTCACCACACCGCGGGACACTGGACGAGACTCCGGTCACCGAGCTCAGGTCACACCGCGGGACACTGGACGGGACTCCGGTCACCGGGCTCAGGCCACACCGCGGGACACTGGACGGGACTCCGGTCACTGGGCTCAGGCCACACCGCGGGACACTGGACGGGACTCCGGTCACCGGGCTCAGGCCACACCGCGGGACACTGGACGAGACTCCGGTCACTGGGCTCAGGCCACACCGCGGGACACTGGACGGGACTCCGGTCACCGGGCTCAGGCCACACCGCGGGACACTGGACGAGACTCCGGTCACTGGGCTCAGGCCACACCGCGGGACACTGGATGAGACTCCGGTCACTGGGCTCAGGCCACACCGCGGGACACTGGACGAGAGTCCGGTCACCGGGCTCAGGCTACACCGCGGGACACTGGACGAGACTCCGGTCACTGGGCTCAGGCCACACCGCGGGACACTGGACGGGACTCCGGTCACTGGGCTCAGGCCACACCGCGGGACACTGGACGGGACTGCGGTCACCGGGCTCTGGCTACACCGCGGGACACTGGACGAGACTCCGGTCACCGAGCTCAGGTCACACTGCGGGACACTGGACGGGACTCCGGTCACCGGGCTCAGGCCACACCGCGGGACACTGGACGAGACTCCGGTCACTGGGCTCAGGCCACACCGCGGGACACTGAACGAGACTCCGGTCACTGGGCTCAGGCCACACCGCGGGACACTGAACGAGACTCCGGTCACCGGGCTCAGGCCACACCGCGGGACACTGAACGAGACTCTGGTTACCTGCCCCAGGTCAAGCTGACAACATGCTTTACTAGTGGAGACAGGGACACTTAACAGTCAAGATATAAGAGTAGACTGTCACTGACCCTCCCACAAGCACAACAGCAACACTCAAGTAATCTCTCCAGCGTTGGTTGTAAGCCATCGGTTGGGCCAACTCGACCTGTGGTACTGTAGGCGCGTGAGTGACAACGGTGCGCCGCTCACCTGGAAGGGATAGAAGAGGATGAAGATGACCATGCCGAAGAGGGCGTACGGCCCGAGCAGCAGGCCGATGTAGATGACGCCTCCGAGCGCGATCACCGGGCCGCCGATGATCATCGGGCCGAACACGCACAGATCGAAGATCCGCTGGGCGTCATTGGCGAACAGGTTCACCACCTGCAGCGAGCTGCGCGTCAGCTGACTGCGCCGCGGCAGTGCGCCCGAGGGGGCCCGGGCGCAGCTGTAGGCGGCCGCCTGCCGCGCAGTCAGCTGCTGCCAGAGCGTCTGCAAACAGCTGACTACGCCACGGGTCTAAGGCCGTCCCCCGGCTCCGCAGGTCGCTACAGGCACAAGATGCGGCCCGACCACAAACACATGTGGGTTTGTGGCAGGCCGCATCGTTGTGGCCATACATCAATGGGAAGCGGCATGACCACAAGCACACAAGACGTCCAAACAAACACATGTGAGGGCTTCGCAAATGTACATGCGTTTGCTGCCCCGAGCAAGAACGCTGCCGCGAGTGAGTGAGACCGGTCGGATGCCGGGCACATCTGAGCGTGCCGCCCGACCGAGGGGGCATGCGAGCATCCTCTGGAGCGACAGCGCAGGCTGACCTGTCCCACCGACTTGTCGCCGAGTCCAGGCAGCCGCAGCAGCTTGCGGTAGAGCACAGTGAGGCAGGCGGAGCGCAGCCGCACACCGGTGCGGTAGTTGATGCCCCAGAGGACGGTGAAGAAGCAGACGCGCAGGATCTCGCAGAGGATGAGGCCGACCGTCCAGCAGACGCCGTCCACCAGCGGCGCGTCCTGGTCCTGCGCGTACTCCAGCAGCCGCCGCATGAACACCGTCTGGAGCGGACACGCCAAGACGACCGGTCACTGCCTGGTCACACACTCGTGTGACCTGGTAACAACAGCCGCCGTATGAACACCGTCTGGAGCGGACACGCCAGGCCGACCGGTCACTGCCTGGTCACCCACTCGTGTGATCTGGTAACAACAGCCGCCGCATGAACACCATCTGGAGCGGACACGCCCGGCCGACCGGTCACTGCCTGGTCACACACTCGTGTGATCTGGCGATAACAGCCGCGCCAGCTCAGCCTGGTGACTCGCCATCGCATGGTTATCTTCGGATATGATCAGTCGCGCCAGCTCAGCCTGGTGACTCGCCATCGCATGGTTATCTTCGGATATGATCAGTCGCGCCAGCTCAGCCTGGTGACAGTTGTACTGTTGTGCCCTCCCTCTGCTCTCCCTCTGGTGTGCCCTGCCCTCCCCCTACCTCTCTTATGGCACACAAAACAGATTTGTGACCTTCAGATCTGCAAGAAAAAGACAAATGGGGAAAAGATATTTCGGAAATTATGCTGAAAGGGACCAAGATTTGTGCGAGGCCTAAGAGTAAAGACTATGCAAAACTCATAGACCAAATGCGACTCTTTCGGAGATGAGGCTCGAGAGCCGTCGGCGTTGCGTGTTTGCGAGACTTACCGGCCCGAGCAGGCCCATGATGAGACACATGATGAACACGGACATGCCGACGAAGATGCGGGTCCGAATGAAGCGCCACACAGCGCGCCGGAACGAGGCTCGCTTCAGGCCGTGGCGCTTCACCTCGTCCGTCCACATAAACTCAAGTCTGAAGAACACAAATGTCCACATCAAATACTGGCTGAATCCACATAAACTCAAGTCTGAAGTACACAAATGTCCACATCAAATACTGGCTGAATCCACATAAACTCAAGTCTGAAGTACACAAACGTCCACATCAAATACAGGCTGAATCCACATACACTCAAGTCTGAAGTACACAAACGTCCACATCAAATACAGGCTGAATCCACATAAACTCGAGTCTGAAGTACACAAACGTCCACATCAAATACAGGCTGAATCTACATAAACTCAAGTCTGAAATACACAAACGTCTACATCAAATACACGCTGAATCCACACAGACTCCAGAATGAAACACACACAGTGCGTAAACGCCAGCCTAAGCAGCCCCAGACAAAACAAACTTCAGTATGAAAACACCCGCTCGCCCTCATGCACTCCAGACTGAGATACTTCCACATCCCATGGTAACGTGAGTTCCAGCCTAACACTTGTTTGTTTATATAAATTCTGGGATGAAGCAGAATATCTGTTTGGACTGTGGGATTCGGCCTGCCCCCCCCCCCCCCCATCCACCCCAGCTACAGGCTTCAAACTGCCTAACCAAATTCTCCTTGGCATATTGACCACAACATCACCTAGAGATCATTGAATCTTTCCATGCCTATCTTGAGCCTGGTCGCAACTGCAAAAACGTACACCAGTCAGACGTGGGACGAAGGGACCAAAAGCGGCGCACGTTCGGGCCTTGACGGCGGCACGATTCCACGGCGCCGCCAGTCAGACGCGGGATGAAGGGACCAACAGCGGTGCACATTCGGGCCTTGACGGCGGCACGATTCCACGGCGCCACCAGTCAGACGCCGGACGAAGGGACCAACAGCGTCGCACATTCGGGCCTTGACAGCGGCACGATTCCACGGCGCCGCGCCTCACCGCCTGGCATTGTATTCGCAGCTCTCCAGTGGCGAGATCCTGGGCAGGTCCTCCACCTTCAGCCCCTTCTTGTAGGCACCCCACATGATGTATGTCATCCAGGAGAATGTGGTGAGGGACAGCATTCCAACATTGTCCACTGGCATCGCTGCCTTCTCGCTGGTGGCAGGAAGCAATGACATCACAAACACTTCTGAGCCAGGCCTGGGACTGATACAAGTCTGAGCTGGCCCAAATGTTCAGTAGTACAGTGCAGTGTGCGGGGTGCATTGGGTAGTGATGGTTGAAACATTGTGAATTTGGCTCCCAGAGGTATTAAGAACCAGGGGTTCTGAAAGACATGTTTAACATTGATGGACATTTTACAGACTTAATAAAAATGTACTGGTGTGATGTTTACACTGTTGGTAAACAATAAAACTTCCTTCATCCCTTGATAGCTTGTCAATACATAACATCACAGCTGCTATTTTGTCCACAGCATAACAGCAGAATCAATCATGTCAAAAGTAAGAACTGAATAGGCATACAGAAACTGTGTTACCTATTCAGAGTCAGGTTTTCTGGATCCTAAAGGACCACACAGTAAGCACACTAGCTCACTGACACACAGCATAAGCACTACATATAGCTGAGGAACTTACACCTTGGTCTTGCGGACAGGTATAAGCTGCCTGAGCGCCGCTGAGTATCGGCTGTAGCCCATGCCCGGCTTGTAAGAGACCTCGCAGGGCTGGTACACATCTTCATAGCTCCCCTTGGACACTGCATCCATAATGGCAGCAGGATTCTGTGGTGTGTAGTGTTCTGTGAGGTCAGAGATGACACAAAGACTATGGTCTGACATTGTGAGGTTGCATGAACCATACCAAACACTGCGACAAAAATGAGAAGCACACAACACAAGATACTGTCACTTATATGGCACCCCTTGGCCATTTCTTACTTGGCACCCTAAACATCTTGTCATAGAGTTTGGTGGAATCATAAGTACCCCAACTCACAACCAGCATTGCAAATGTATGGACTATAAAGATGTGGCCTGAGGAACCCTGCATGCCTCATGGTGGCCTTTTAGCTGGGTTGGAAGCAACTACCTTAAGATGTAAAGCTCTGGCCTTCATCAACTGTAAAAATACATATTGTGCAAATATAGGTTAAAATTGCAAAACATTTGTGCTCAACTCACTCCACATACACTGCAGTAAAAAAATTATTAAAGAAACAAAATGATGCAGTGCAGTGGTGATTTTAAGCATGAATATATGTGTGAAAATTCAACCAAGGTTTCCTTGATCTGAGATTTGTTGCATGCATGCGCCCAGTTTAGTACATTATCGCCACTTAGACATCTAGTGTTATGGTTCAATTTTTGCTGTTTGGCCTTCCCTATCATTGCTGAACTGCCTCTCAGAACATTAGGTAGCTGGGACCTCTGTAACATTGGCTGCCTCTTCCCCTGACAACTACCATATTCTGGCAAAACAAAATGGCCAGTTCTGAAGCTATCATTGCAATCCACAGAAGGTATGGAAAGGTAGGTACATGCCACTCACTCAGGGAAAAGAAACAACATGCTTACTTAAGAGTACTTAAGAAAGAGCAATTACATATCACAAGCAGTGCTGCAATTTAGAAGCTCAGGGGCACATAGCTGTTATCACTTTGTTGCTATACTGCTGTGTTTCCCTTATACAAAACCATGTTCATCAAGGAAAACCTGCAGTGGCCTGGCTTCTATGATTTGATGATCACCTCCTTATCTAATGTGGCAGCACTCATGAACTGTCTACACATTAATTCAATTGTGAGCACTGCATGGTTCATGCAATATACAGGACCTATCATAAGGCATGCCTAACATGCCGACCCGCTTATTGTTGGTTCTACCCCAGGACACCATATTTATTCCCCCATACCAATCGTCATGCCCGCTGAGCACCCAACACGAGCGACTTTCAATATTAACCGCCTCTGCGAGCATTGGGCAGATCTGACACGCCCAGAAATGTCACTTTACACTTTATTTTATAAGCAATCTTATACCTGAATACTCACCAGTCGAGACCATCCACCAGATCTGAGCTGTTTTAACGAGATGCGAACCCTCTAAACCTCACGCCGTCCCCAACCCAGGGCCTCCACACCGGCCCCCTTCGGCCTCGAGGGGTCCAAAGCTCGCGAACGGCGAGCAACAATCAAGGACGTCAGCTGACATAGTGGATCTAGTTGACTTTATCCCCATAAGATGTCACTAGCTGCAGTTTTGCACCAGGTAAGTGCTGCCGCCTAGCAGCGTCTTTGGAAGAACTCGAAGAGACGTGGAAAACGAAATTTTATCCTGCTAGGTGGCAGTGCGGTGCATGGCTACCGCGGTGGTGCTGTGGGGCCGCGTGTCTTGGACCACAAATTTGAATCAAAGGTAGTATTTCCCCGCAGGTGTAGTTTGTGTGCTTACACCCTTTGACGAACACCTGTGTTGGCGTGGGTGCTGTGGATGTGCTAGGCATTTAGATGAGGGTTGTTTGCGAAGCGTGCGCATTGAGATCGTGGAGCATGTAAGGCTTTCAACCATTTTGTTTCCTGTACCCAGCACGTTGAAATGGATGCTCTTACGGCGCATGTCTTGATTTGGACTTATACGAAACTAAACACGAGGGTTGAACGGAAATTTCTGCGCACGGCAACTTCGGACGCCATCCGTCGGCGGCGTCCGTTTCAGATCGTCACGGCGGCCATAATGGCGCGCCGATGGTCGAGGTCGCCCGTGCCCTTTTGGATATTTCTTGTTGCCTAGTCATATTGTGGGGAAACATGGTTACCTTTATGTAGACAGCTGTTTGGGATCTTGCATTGTGTGCTGTTCCCATGTGTGTGTGGTTAGACATCTGATGCTGCAATTCAGTGCATGCATGCATTGACCTTTATTTTACTTTGTTGTTGGGTCTTTAGTTGTACAGTAAATGAGTCCAACAGTCCATGCTGTGAGGTGCAAGTGTAAAAATATGTCCAACTAGCCAAGCTCTTAAAGTCATATGTGCAGCTCTGAAAAATAGCAGACTATTGGGGTGTGTCATACAGTTAAGTTTGTGGACTAAATGTTTGATTTGATACTGGAAATTAAAAGTTCTCTATTCTTGGAATGAAAGGCCTTCACGTACTGTCAAAGAGTGACCAGTTATCACTATTTGAATTTTACATGACAAAATTTTAAAGAAGTCACATTAAGAATCAGATGTTTGTTTCATTAGATCAATCAGAAGAATCAGCATGTTTCAATTAGGGCATAAAACAGTTTGTACTGAATTGTTTGTATTCTTTTGTGATGTGATATTGATCACACTTCTGTTATCAAAGTAGTGCTCATATCTGGGGATCATCAATATGGATGCATATATTTATACTTGATTCCTAAATGTCTACAGAAGTGGCCTCAGAAGAAGAGATGGAGATAGATACAGCAGAGGCAAACCAAGTAATGGAGTCGCAGCCCAGCAAGGTACTGGTTAATGAAATGTTGCAAGTTATATGAATAACACTGAGAGCTGGGCATTATGATAAGGGTGAGACAGCCATGATCTGGACTCTGCATCATCTGCAATTGTTTGTTTTCCTGCTTAGCCTCAGTTTTATTTTGGAACTACACCAGTTACCAGTGCTTTCCTCTGCCAATATACTTGAATGCTGTCAATGCTGCACTTCATTTTGATTTCCAAACATATTGTCATCTCAACTAGTGAGTTGCCAATTTGATCCAGATAATAGTAAGCATACTTTTTGGCACCATTGTCCACATTTATGCAGGAGTGTCAAGGCAAGGAAGACACTAGGTCTGCTGGAGAAGGAAGGAGATACATGGGTTTTTCACCTGTGAATGACCAGATTGTTGTTGGCTTCTGCTCAGACAAGTATGGCTGAACCTGAGTCTGAGCATCCAGCTGGAGATGCTCTGACAACAAACAAAAAATGTTTGCCTCAAGCTGAAGATCAGAAGCTTGGTGATGATGAGGCTGCCCCAATGGAGCAGGGGCCTGATCCCCCAAACCAAGAGGAGGCACCCAAGGACCAGGAGTCCGCATCCCCACACCCCCAGCCACCACGCGAGAACCACGAGCAGGCGGCGCCTGACCCCGACCCCGAAGCCGCCGGGCCGGAGTCACCCCCCGAGCCGGAGCCGATGGAGACGTCGACCGCCGCGCCGCCGCCGCCGCCGCCGGCCGAGCCGCCGACGCCGGTGACGGCGCTGCCGCTGGACCGGGCGGCCATGCTGAACTCGGTGCTGGCCGGCCGCGCCGCCCGCAGCGGCATCACGCACCCGCCAGCCCGGCTGCAGCTGCCGCTGCCGCGCGAGGGGTTCATGTGCGACCAGTGCGGCGACAGGTGAGGCGACCGGACCGCTGCTCGATGCGGCGTGTAAGCGCGGCCAACCGGTGTGTGCCGTGGCGCCGAGTTTTCCGCGGCGGCCGGTTTTTACCGGACGCACACCACGTTTCTGCCCACTCGCGTCAGTACTGAGCGAAGTTTGTAATGACGTGACCGACTGACCAGCAATGCTTGTCGCTGACGTCAGAAGCTCGGAGATGTCCTCTAAAACGCTGTTGACGGCGGGCCGCCTTGCGCATGATGCCGTCGTGTCGTGATGTGGCTGTCGCGGGACAGGTTTGTGCTGCCCTCGAGTCTGGCGCTGCACCAATCACGCCGCACTATGGAGATCGCCTTCAGGTGTGCCGACTGCAGCAAGACCTGCCTCTTCGACAACAAGTGCCGCTTTCTGGGTGAGCCGCAACAGCTTCCTGTTCCGAGGTCGTCGTTCACTTCCGTTTGCTAGTGGGGTGGGGAACTCGTTGAAAGCCGGTCGTGGAGGGGCCATTGTAAACCCCCGGTTTGTGTGGGTTGTGAGCAGAGCAGGAATGTTGTCAATGAAAATGCGGATAAGCCAATACGGCCAAGGAACATCTCGTGACGGGATGCCGTAAAACAGTGGATGTAAACGTTTCAAACTTTCCCATACCATTCACCGATGCATGATCGCATGTGGTTGAGGTTAGTATTCGCGTGTGACTTCGGCGATCTTCAAGCGTATCCCTCGGATTGATAACGAATGGTGCATAAAACAGTACTTCAAGTGAAGGTGAACATTAATGTTAACTACTGCACATTGGTACGGCCAGACCTGGGACTTCACCATTGGCATAGTACGAAACGTATGCACATACGACTCCGCGACACCCGACGTATTCTGACACCGCCGGCGGTAATGGACCAGTTTACGCCCGATATCGACTGCGCGGAATGCTCTGCAAGAGGGTGCTCTGCGTCGGTGTTCATTGAATGTTTCGCACCATTTTTATATTGTCACACATCTCCACCATCTGCACTCGGCGACGCCTCGTGAGTGGGCTCGGTAGCTGTGTGCGGCGCCGCGCTCCTGCCCGGTCAGGCACAGATGTTTTGATCATTGAGTTCTGAGAAATACTGGATGATGCTAGTGCGAACAATATTCCATCCGTGACATTAATCACTCTCCTCAATTCATCCGTAAAGCCATTCTCTTCCATTGGTAGTTGCTCCCTGCTCTGGGTGCCGAGATTCGGCAAAAAGCGTGTAAACCCGTGGAAAAGAGCAAAAGCCATCTTCCTGGCTCGTGTGTGCCCGACACGTGTAATGTGCCACCCCGCACTTGTGACACCAAGCGGTTTCCCGTTCAGTGGCCTATCGCGGCATGTCAGTCTCGTGTTACTACGTGCCATAAGAGCGGAAAACTCGTATCAAGCGAAAAAAAATGGACGAAATTGGCAAAAAATACATCTTCACAGCTTATGTGCACACGTCACATGACACGTGCAGCATCGCATCGTACACGTTGGACCAATTGGCCGTTAGATCGCTTATCGAAGCATGCCAGTCCCGACGTACATGCTCCCCTGGTTTCTGAGGTATGACAAAGACGTGCAAGCCCCTCAAAAGAGCAAAAATGTGTAAAAACATACTTAAACATGTGGGCGCCACCACATGTCGCACGTGTCACCACACATTATCATTTCGGTCCTTTCACTCATCATCGAAGTGCCCCAATCCTGTATGTGTTCGCGCCATGGATGCCGAAAGGTGGCACAAAACGCGTGGAAGAGAGCAAAATCCATATGTGAGCCCATGTCACGTGGTACGTGTGACTACCATTTTGCATGGTACACCTTTTCGTGCCATTCTCGTGTCGCTGCGACCCATCGTTGTCGAGATTTTGGTGCGAGATGACAATCGGCCGGAAGCAATGAATTACAGCAGCCGGTTGGCTGCTGTAAACTATTTAAAACTTGGCATCTTGCAACCTGTCCTGCAATTTGCAGCGCACGTTGCACTGCACATACTCGCGATGAGACTGAAAGTGTAGTCGCGTCAATTGTGAATGTTGGAAACAAAATCCACACATGTACGCGCACTGTGAGCACGGCGACCATCCCGCACAGCGCCCCGTCGACTCCCATGTTTGAGCCGAGACCGCGCCACCTGACGACCCGGTTGTCGGTCTACAGCCGGACAGATTGAATACACGTCAGAACGCTCGTTCTTTGATGAGGGCTGGCGATATGAACAAAGTCAACAGCCCGCCGCGCGAACGACCATTTTAGCCCTTAATGCCATGGGCGTACGCCGGGAGCCGTGCGGTAAATTGCCGCCGTCGCCGCCGTGCAACCCCTTAGTCTAGGCTCATTTGCGAGAGACATTTTTTAAAATGTGGTCAACAAATGGGTGCATCAGAGACAGGACGAATCGGCGGACACTCTGATGTAGTTTTCAATGCTAGATCATGCATAGTTTTTTACGGTAGCGGCTTGTATTCGGCTTCGGTTTTTAAAACTCGGCCCGTCGCAAATTGTATTGCAATTTGCAGCGCGACGGTGCGTTGCAGAAACTCGCAATGCACACTGAGAATGTGACCGCTTTAATTGTGAATGTTGGGAAACAACATTCAGGCCTCTACCTGCTTTGCGCGCCGAGATATCACGGCAAACGTAAAACCGCGTCAGAAACGACCGATTTCATCTCGTCAACACGTGTGTACGTGCCACGTGTGACTTGGCAAACGCACCCGATACGATTGCGATGGCCCATTCCGTGCTTTATCGCACCGTGCAAGTTGCATGTCGCTGCGACCGTTGGTTACCGGGATACGGCTCCGGGAGGCGAGGCGTGTCGGGCCGTCGGCCAGAATCGCGAAATTGGCGTCGCCCGTGTTAACGTTATGGGATTTTTGCTCTTTTTCGCTCGACACGCGCTCTTGGTCGTGTGCAAATTGCATGCAAAAACTCCTGACCGTTTGGCCTGCAGGTGAACCAACGCACACGCTCGCACACGCTCGCACACGCACACGCACATGCGCATGCACATGCACATGCACATGCACATGCACATGCACGCGCACGCGCACGCGCACGCGCACGCGCACACACACACACACACACACACACACACACACACACACACACACACACACACACACACACACACACACACACACACACACACACACACACACACACACACACACACACACACACACACACACACACACAATGTTCCTTTAGAAATACAGAGAAGGGATATCTAGATGTTCCTCAATGTGACAAGCCCTCATGGAAACTGTGCTACGTGAAAGATTGAATGTGACGTCAGAAAGGTGACTGATCGCAACTGCGTTTCGTAGACATCGCTTGAAAAATGTCACCACTTATATTTTTGACAAAATCGTTATTATACTCCATTTCTCGTCGGCTTCATAGCATTAAAAATCGAACTAGGCTGGCTCCAGTAGAAGATTACTCGGACAGCCTGTGGTCAGTTTCGAACCCACGACCTCAACATTACGAAATGAACATGGACAGTTGATTGCGGAGTTCCTCAGTCAAATGCCTCTTCATTAACAAATCGGGTCATGATGGGACCGTAGCGTGGCACGTGTCAGCGGACCGACGTCGCTGTCACGTCTTCCTCGGCCCCGCTGACGGCACGTGCCGCCCGCAGAGCACCTGGACCTGCACAGCGTCGACCCGCAGTCGCTGAGCCCCGAGTCTGTGGACATTTCGGCGCTGACCCCGGCCGACCTGAGCTCGCCCGTGCGGCTCATCCCGGCCACGGGCAGCCGCCTCCTCACCGGGCCGCCCCGCATGGTCAAGATGGGCCACGTCGAGAAGGTGGAGAAGTGAGTCCCGGAGCGGGCCGGCGCTCCTGCGCGTCAGCGTGCCGCGGCTCATATTCCGCCGTGTCTGTGGCCACGACCGCGACAGATTGTGATGCTATGGGATTTGCCATGCCGATGATTTGGTGGTGTTTGTGGTTTGAATTCCCATCGCCACGTGCTCCACGCCACTGCGGATTGGACGGCTGGTGACTTGTAATGGCGTAGCCCTTCAGTAGCATCTTCTCGCTGTTCAGGACCGCCGGGTTTTCGGACAGTCGCTCTTCTGTGATGATGGAATGTCAGTAGTTTGTAACATAATTTTCCGTGTGCTTGACTGCTGATATAGCATGTTGGTCATTTTGGAGCATGTCATAGAGCATTTTTTTCGATATTGTATGCGGTTTTAACGCGAATGAGGCTGAAAAGGGGAAGTTGTGCCCAAAGGGTCACCGTCCAGTCGTCATTTTCCGCTCAGTCCCGATTCATCTACATCACTGGAGCCGCACTACGATGGCGGTGCTCATCGGAGTAGAGGCACTCCGACAGTGGTGTCCTCGCCTTACGCCGAGGAGTGATGTGCCGCCCCCGTGTGTCCGGCAGGCCGGCCGGTGTCAGCTGTCCCATGTGCAACACGCTGTGCAGCACGACCTCACTGCCGGCGCACATGTGCCCGCCTTCGGGCGCCGACGCGCTGGAGTCGGTGCCGCCCCGCTGCCCGGAGTGTGCGCAGCCCTGCCCCTCGGACTGCGCGCTGATGGCTCACCACGGCCTGCACAAGCCCAACCTGTGGCCCTACCCGTACGTCTGTCCCGAGTGCTCGGTCAAGGTGCTCGGCACACACGAGGAGTACCGGCGCCACGTGGTGGCCGGCTGCCTGCATCTGACGCGGGACCTCAAGACCTGCTGCGCCATCTGCCTGATCGAGGTCGGCGACGTCAAGTCGCACATGCTGCAGACGCACGTGCAGAAGCTGTACAAGTGCCGCAAGTGCCCGCTCGCTTTCGAGTCCATCAACGGCTTCAACAGCCACGTCAAGGGCAAACACGGCGGACAGCCGATGCTGGGCGATACGCCCTACATGCCGATCCTCAAGTGTCCGTTCTGCGCGGCCACGTTCAACCACCCGAAGACGCTGCGTGAGCACCTGGCGTCGAAGAAGCACGGCGACCGGGCGCTGGAGCAGGTGCGCTTCGTCTTCCGCTGCCCCGAGTGCGAGGTGGACTACGGCCGTAAGGAGCTGCTGTCCGACCACCTGGCGCAGAAGCACCCCGACTTTCAGATTGCCGCCATGGACGTGCCGGCCGCCGTGCCGGAGCCGCCGCCGGCGCCGCCGGTGGCCGCGCCGGCGCCGCCGCCGCCCGCACGGCCCCTGGCGGCGCCGCGGCCGCTGGGCCGGCCGCCCAAGCAGGCGGCGGCGCCGGCGCCCGTGAGGGTCGAGACCGGCCGCAAGGTGGCGGTGTACGTGTGCGTGGTGTGCCAGCTCGAACACCGGCGCAAGTCGGCGTACGCGGAGCACGCGCGCGTCCACCTGAACGACGGTGTGCCGCTCTGCCTGCTCTGCAACGCCCGGTTCGACACGCACGAGGTGCTCAAGAACCACATCGCCGAGCACGCGTGCGAGATCGGCCGCGACCGCTGCGGCCTCTGCTACGTGAAGCTGGGCAGCCGCGACGCGCTGCAGGTGCACCTCGAGGACGAGCACAACCTGCGCAACTTCACGTGCCCACACTGCCAGCTCAAGTTCGTGCGGCTGAACGACCTGCACCGACACAACTTCATCAAGCACCGCAGCGGCGCAAAGAGCCGGCCGGCGCGGCCGCTGTCGACCGTGCGCGATACGCCCGAGGCGCCGCTCGCGCCAGAGGACGACGACGAGGAGGACGACGACTTGCCGTTGAGCGAGCTGAGCGCCCGTAAGCCGGTGGGCGAGACGGGCGGACGGAAGCCGCGGCGCGGCGGCGGCACGCTGCCGGGCGTCACCAGCCTGTACGAGCTGGACAGCGAGACGTCGTCGGTGCTGAGCGACGGCGACGAGGCGGGCGGCCAGCGGCGGCGGCGCGGCGGCGGCGCTGGCGGCCGCGGCCAGAAGCGGCCTCGCTCGGAGCCCGAGCCGCCACCGCCGCGACTCAGCCGCGTGGCCAAGCGGCCGCCGTCGCCGGCCGAGACGGCATTCGTCGAGCGGCCGGCACCGGCGCCGCCCGCCTCCGGCTACCGCTGCGTCTGCTGCGGCCTGCAGACGGAGGTGCGCGCCGACTTCGTGGCGCACGTACAGCTGCACCGGCAGGGCAGCCAGCACCAGTGCCCCGAGTGCGGCCAGTGCTACTCCACCAAGCCGTCGCTGCTGAAGCACCTGCTGCTTGTGCACCGACTGCGCGAGCCGCCGCCGGAGGTGGCTGAGGCCGAGCGGCAGCACGAGCTGGTGCAGTGGGAGCAGCTGACGCGCGACCTCGAGCCTGGCCAGTGTCACGTGTGCCGCACGCAGTGCGGCGACGAGGAGCGGCTGCTGCAGCACCTGCGCGCGCACGGCCGTGCTGCTCTGCGCGCGCACCAGCGTCAGGCAGCGCGCCGCCAGCGCCGCGCGCAGCCGCCGCCGGAGGACGGCCGGCCGGAGACGCTCGAGGACATCGCCAGCTTCGTGGCCGGCGGCCGGCCGGCCGACGATGAGGACGAGGACGAGGTGATCGAGCTGGAAATGAAGGAGGGCGAGATCACGCAGAAGCAGCTACGCAAGGGTGTGCCGTTGGTGCGTGATGAGAGCAGCGACGACGAGGATGTGGCCGAGCTGGCCGAGCCGGGCGCCAACGGCGAGCAGCGGTCTGGCGACGAGGGTGCGCCGGCTGCCGCTCCGGCGCGCGGTAAGGCCGAGCCGTCGCCGCTCTCTGCCAACGGCCTGCCAGCGGCGGGCGGCAGCGGCCCCAGCCAGCCGGCAGAGCCGGCCGCCGCCCAGGCTGCCTCCGGGTGACTGCCGCCGATCGGCGTCGCTCGCGCCCCGGCTATCATTGTATAAAGTCATTCCTGTGGCGTGGCGCCGCGGGCCGCACCGTGCCTGGTCAGACGCAGTGGACGGGAGGCTGCGGGACCTGGCGACTTTTATCCGCGCGAGAGCGGCGCGAGGTGTCCGCGCAAAGGGGCGAGCAGTGTGCGTTTTTGCGAGGCGGACGTTGGTGCGGTGTGTGCGTGTGTGCGTGTAAACGTGTGTCTATACTGGCCCCATGCAGTTGTATGCCTTTGCTCGGGTGGGGATTGTGTTGGCCCGGCTACCAGCGCGTGGTGCGTGGCCGCATGGGTCGTGTTGTACCGCTGCTGTCGTAGCTTTTTCTCCTTTTTCTGCGCTGCCTGTGGTATCACGAAGTTTCAATTAATCATGCATGGTGCGGATTTTCGGCGACGCGGATTGGTCGATGGTAGGGGTGACGTAATACCATCGGGCATTTTGTTTTATATGCCTTTCTATGGAAGCATGCACCACCATAATAAGCAAAACGTACAAAGCACGCCAATCCTGGCTTTTCTCGACTGGTTTTGTGAGTTTAATCAATACAACTTTATAATCACGTAGTCATGAGTTACCATGAATGCATTCCCACTGCACGGAGAAGTGGAAAATATCGGAAGTTATCAAGAGCATGAGCCGCCCAGGGCGTGGGAGACCGTCGGCATTCGCTGCACCAGACCGCAGGTGGCTATAACAAAAGTAGGTACGCTGCCGACCGCCAATCCTCACCAGCTCTACATCAGCGTCGCCATGTCTCAGCCCTTTGAAACCAAATTTGTATGAGGTTAGAAGCCCTTACGGGTTTCCTGGATAAGTGGACGTCATAGACGTCATAAGCAGGGGCCTTACCGCTATTTGACGCCTACGGACCGTCCGATGACCTTTGGGGTGGAGTCATGTTCTGGGGATCCTAACCAGGGATCTCGAGCTCTGAACCTGTTAAGACGATAACAGGGGTGGTAGCGTCATGTGGGGCATGCCCTGTCCGTCTCCGTCCACCACACTGGCAGCGTCCATTTTCATGAGTCAAGACCTTTGCTCCCACGACTCGTTTTGCAAACAAACGCCAGCTTGTATGAAGAGGAGTGGCCGCCGCGCTGCACGTGTTTTGGACTCCGGCCGGGGGCATTGGAGCAAAGCCAGCCATTTTTGCCTGCCGTCACCCTCGTGACCGGACGGAGCTTAACCTGCCAGCAGAAATGACCGCCAGTTCACTGAAAAACCCAAGTCTTCTTTCAATGGCAGATAACCGGACAAACTTGTTTTAAATCAGCCTATGTAAGTGTCTCCTGAAGAAAGTGTCTCATGACTGGATGCAGTCAGGATGATACCGGTGCAACAGGTCTGTGTTGATAATTTGCGTCACTTTGCTTGAGTAATTACAGTGGCACTTAATTTTAATGAAGCCAATATCAGCGTGCCCGAGTTGTCAATATCCATGGAAAGGAATATATCTCGTTTTTTTCGGTTAGCCTATAAGCGTGCCGGCGCCCATGACCTATCGCAGTCCCTGCAGCGTGTATGCTGGATTACACTCTGTTTGACAGTCACTTACTCCTTATCGTATCTCACAACCCCGAGAGCCGCAAGCGTGAGTGTTTTTAGTTTTCTTGCAGGCAAGTTTTGCACCATCTGTTAGTCGTCTTTATGCCACGAGACTTGTGAGGGCTCGCGGTTTCTAGCATTTGCAAACCCGTGACTGTTTTTACGGCGCGCTTATCTATCAGCGTGGGAGGCTATTGACCTTCTCAGAGGTCTGTGCTGAGGAGAGGAGAGTGCTGCGCGCCTCCGGACGATTCTTTCGGGGCCTGTGATGGTTCGGAAACCGTCCCGTTTCACGGAAATCGTCTTCGAATCTCGTGGCCATCTCTTGCCCCACTGAATGTCCAACTCGGGTCACCTCGTGGCGCCTGGGTCAAAGCCGAGGTCGTTGTTTAGGCAGCACAACCTTTCTTGTACGTGGTTCTACATCAGGTGTGGACAGGGTTCAATGCTCTGGCATTTTTGCCCTCTTCAGCCACTTTAAGACCCACGGAGTCCATGTCCAGGGTGGTGCAATACCGGTGCGCGGCGCGAGCGGCTCGTCCGTCTGACGTGCTGTCAAAAAGGCCCCGTGTGCGTGCACCTCCCGGTCCTGCCGCCGCCACCGCGCCCAATAATCCATACATCGATCGTGCCCGCGCGATTCGCGTGCTTCGCCGATGGTAGCGCCGCTCTGCGGACAGGAGCAAAGTTAACGCTCCAGCCGGCGGCGAGGCCCGATACCGCGGCGGCGTCAGTTGTCGCGCGCCAGGTGAGTGACGGGCGGAGATTCGGCGAAAGGTCAGCGCCCCGCCAACCCGCTGCTGAAGTGGAGACGAACGTGATCGCTGTGGGTCAATTTCGTAAATTGCCACTACTTTAACCTGCTCGGTAAATATCGAATGAAGGATTTGCAGCAACGCGTGCGCAAGCGCTCTTTTAACATGAGCGTTCTTCATTGCCTCAACCATGGGCTCTAGACGTGGTCGCGGCTTCTCCAACGGAGCCGTTTACGAGTCGCACGTAGCTGAATGGTAAAAGCGTGCTTCCATACCAACACCCAGCCAGGAACTCGCGCCTTCAGAATACGAGTCACTGTTTGCAGGTATATTTGTAGGCAACGCGAGTTACTGCATGCGAAGGCAACAAGGGTTGATTGCAATGAAAAAATGCAATGCTTGGCAACCGGCCACTATTTTGGTTGGCGCTGGCCGGGGAAGTCACGCACACAGTTGATCTTTCACCGGCTGTCGTGCTCCACGTCGCCCATCTGATGGCAGCTTATTTTTTGCGTACTATATGCGCCAGAAAACAGCAGCGACCTTCCGTGCGTTTGCGAAATTTCCTCGCTTACAGCCAAGCACGATTGGAACCCCTCGCAACATCTCCGCCAGCTGGTTCGCGGACTGTTGAGACTCGCCCTGCCTTCGTCTCAGCTGAGTGGGTCGAGCTCCATCACCTGCACAGAGTGCCCCAGGCGAGGGTCAGCCGCTGATGTCGGCTGGAAGGGATGACACGGGCGCGGCGCGGCACCAGCAGCAGCTAGACAGGCTGCTGCAGGAGCAGCTGCGAGTGGAGCAGCAGCTCAACAAAATGTAAGATTCGCTTCCTCACACGGATGCGCCTCTCACTACATATGTGTTGCTTCCAGCTGCAAGTCACCCCTCGTGCCTAAACACCCCCGTCCTGATGCAAACTGGGAAGGCCCGAGATGCAGCCAGCGTAACCGCCAGCGGGCTTTGGTCTAACCGCGCGTCTAAGCATATTCAAACGGCCGTTGGTCATTCGCCAGTCGGTTGTTTGGTGATCATCCCGTTTGGTGACCTGAAGCTATGGGTCTGTGCCGGGCGGTGTTCTTCACACTCCACTCACGTATGGGCTCGGTGACGTAGCATACGATCCAAACATAAAGGAGTGGGGATGTCTAATAGTCACGTTTGAACTCGCTCTTTCACGTCCAGTGGCATCAGATTCAGGTGTCTTAGTGAACTGGTATGGCACCGTTATCGCATGAGACGAGACCATGCTCTCACGTCCAAAAGAAGGAGAAAAAAACAGCTTAGGGTTAAATAAGCGGAACAGCACTACTTGTGGTGTCCTACACGTTCAGCGGTACGCTTGTCGAAATAGGAATGCATGTTGTGGCCATCTGAGCCGACGCCTATCCGTAGATAACTGTATTAGCACGACCCCGACTCCCACCTCCGTGAAATGTAGGACGGAGTCCAGCCCCGAAGGAATCGACTCCATCTCCGGACTGACGCAAAGTTGCTCGATTCGACACCACCGGGGGCCAGCGAGGGTCTCGCACCGGAGCAGCCACATGACATTGGCTATGACGTAAGGGGCGTGATGCCGCACCGGTCAGGGATAGCGTGAGCAACTCCAAAGGTGTCTGTGGCTGGTGGATGAGGTCAGCGGTGTGTTGTTCCGCCAGTATATGAGCAGCAGCTGCTGCTGCAGAGGCGCCTGTTACGTATAACGGTATCACATAACTGCTACACAGACCGTCTTTTAGCAGCAGCGACAACAGATGCAGGGTGGTACTGGTTTGTGGCGCGATTGTCGTGAGTGCGCTGGCTCGCCAGCCGTGAGCGCTGAGTCGGCTGCCCGGTGGCACGTGGGACGTATCTGGTGCATTGCAGTCAGGACCGGCGCGAGCAGCTGCACAGGCGGTCCCAGCAAGGCGTGTTATCGCCGCAGCAGCGACTCGCGGAGGTCAAGCGACGGAATGCGATCATCAGGAAGGTTTGTCTCAGTGAAGGGTCTGAATGGTGGGCCTTCCCGCGAATATTTTTGGCCAAGTCGTTCGATATCGTTCTAAAGAATGGAGAAAAGCATAAATACGAAGCATCATGTTTCCACGGCGCTATTTTTTATTCATTTTAGCTATGTTGGGCACAAACACTGTTATGAATGGAGAACCTGTATAATCCCGCGGTCACAAAAACGCATGCCCGTCAAATAAGCAGCCCATCGCTTGCTATTCCAATAATTAAATCCAAATGGGAATCCCAAATCCCTGCCTTCCGGAACTGCTCTGATGATTAAGTGCAAGGAGCCTAGCGAATAAAGGCAATTTTAAGGCGTTTTTCATTATTCCATGCAAGACATTTTTCGTCCTCACTAGCCCTTGCGTCAACACAGCATAGGTTCTTTCAAAGATTTATCCTGCACCAGCACTTTTACACCCGTATGTGCAATCTCGAGTTGACATTTACCAACGTTAAACTGACCAAACGCAATCGCGAATTCGTTCCGTTGCTGTTTCCGGTTTCACCGTGCTAAATATTAGTTCAATGTACAACGCAGTTACCTTATTGATTATCCAGCGGGCCCGGTTTCAGAGAGCTGAAGATATGGAGTGCAGAGCGCGTCTGGCAAGCATGAATCCCATATTCTTTCAACTGGAGGACATGAAGAGACAGTTTCTGGCGTGGGCGTTTCAGCAAGAGCGACGATACAGAGAAAAACGTGGCAGAATCAAACGTTGACATCAAAGCAAAATACCGGTCGACGTTAACTGGTTCCTTCTCATTTGATCGACATGCAACGCACACAAAATATGTCAGAACTTAAGGTCTGTTACACAGTTTCATCCAAACTGCGGAGAGGGTTTCAGTTTCGGCTGGGGCCAGACCGGACCAAAAACTGCGTGGAACGAGACGCCCGGCGCGTCATGCGCACTAGCACGTCCAATGCCAGACTGTGCGAGTACCAGTCGCCAGCCCGTTGATCCCGACCTGAAGTGTAGCCCCTCTCCGACGGGTCACGCGCACTAGCACGTCCGGTGCCAGACTGTGCGAGTACCAGCCGCCAGCCCGCTGATACCGACCTGTAGTGTAGCGCCTCCCCGCCCAATCTAGTTTGTGGCAGCGGGACAACGTTGCGCAATATGTAGCTGCGGATTGGCAGGCACCGGGCGCGTCACTGCCCGGCGAGTCCCGCGGGCCTCACTTACACGAGAAGGTGCTGCGGTGCTGCAGCTCTTTCGATGCATCCGCTGGGATTCCCGAGGTGAAAACGTAGCATCTACGACGGTGAATAGACTTTAACTGCAAGGGAGGTGGACGGAGTTTCCTGGAGCCGACGACAATCTGTTGTCCCGGTAGATGCGCTGTTGAGCGATGGCGTGAGGGAGAGGGAGGCGGTACTCGGGAGACTCTCTGGAACGTCTGGCTGAATGAAACATAACTGCGTAGCAACGTAACCATCGTGTGCAGTCTTAAACAGCCCGTGTGAACTACCGTGTGAACCGTATTGATTTTATAGTTGGCTATTCCCGCTTTATTTCGCTCTTCCATTTGAAGCCCACTTTGAATATGCCGTGTCAGTGAAACAAGCTGTGTGCGTGCTGTGGGGTGGGCCAAAGGGTCACGGGATTTCGTTTGTACAGACTCGGCAGGCATGCAGTGTGTTACGTCGATACGTTGATGCGTAGAACAGATACATTGCCCGACTCGAAACACAATACACGATTGACGATCGACTGAATTTTAATGGGACACAGATCAACAACCAAAGCTTCCAGCATCACCCCTGGCTGCACGACATTGTCTGTCCTACACAGGCGTCTCCGACTCTCTGAAGCGTTTATCGCCGAATCTTTATACGTTACGGTGACAAGCAGGAGCAAACCGGCTTTCTGATGATACAGGGCCTTGATAACGGCTGTGGGGACTTGCACAGATGGTGAATGGCAAAACCCAGCGTTTCTTGGGAATTCACACGTTGACGTCCGAGTCCTGGAAAACTGCTACTTATCCGAGCTGTCAAGCGGGGCTAAGCTCACGTCTCCGATCACACCAGCAGTGCCGCCCTCTGTGGACCTCAGCAGCGCCTTCTACACCGAACATTCCGAGCCGCTTCCTTCCCCGAAAATCCCAAGTGAGGCGAGCCTTTGCGAACATGGCCGACGCCATGCTTCCTGCCCCGAACATGGTCGGCGCCTCGCTTCCAGTCCCGAACATGGCCGACGCCTCGCTTCCAGTCCCTGCTGGTGTCCGTCCCGTCCAGCAGCGCCCACCCCATGGACTCCGTCATCGGGCTCGGCTTGAGCAAGCCGACAACATTTCCAGATCCCCGACGCACACGTCACACAGTCACCTCCGCAGCGCAGCCTTCACCAACGAGACAGTCGTCGTGACATCCTCGCACATTTGCAGTTTATTGGACAAAAATAAGAGGACTAAACCGTTCCCTTGCATATAAAAAGGCTCACACGTTCGGAGATGCACTGGCGAGCGTGGAGCCCCACATCGCTTCGGGCGAGCGCCCGCCAGCACACGCACACGCACGCACACCAACAGCAGGTACAGTCTATGACCACCTATGTACAAATGAAATGTGTACAAACTCGCTCTCTCGCTCGGGTCAGCGAGCCGCCGGATGCGTTCGATTGTATCAGACGACTTTGTACTTTCAGCACTGTCCAGGGCCGGGAGGGGGCGTGGTCCGCGCGCGCCCCGAGGCGGCCGACCAGGGGACGCTAGCCCAGCACGGACGCCACGTCCTGAGGCCACTGAAACGGGCCCCGACAAACTCGTCTGGCAACGCTCACTGGATATACGAAACGGCAGCTGTTTGCGGGGTCGGGTCTGCTAGGCAGGTAGGAGCTCTTTGGGTTCCACCGGAGGCTGAGGGCCATTTTTACGACATGAAACGACACAATTTGAGATAATATCCCGTTTTCCTATTACAAGCATACTTGCAGTGCACATGCGAACCATCACGAGCCAAGATTGGCGTCTAAATCAAGTGAAATACGCCGTTTCAACAGGCAAACCCTGGCTACCTTCAAACATGCCCGATTAATTGTTTTCTTACTGCACAGTGCAATTTGCCATTTTGGCGCCAAATTAACAGACATTTCGTCCCAAACGATGCATGCAGTTCACTCAAACCAATGTAGAACACCGCGGCCCGCGTCACAGGAAAACAGCGCACTCCGATTGTTGGCGTTCGGTGCAGCTATCACGAGCGATCGAGAGAGCAGCGGTGATGCCAGCCCTTAACACCCGGCTCCGTGGTCACAGACACCAGACACACCACGCTCCCACTAATATCAGCGCCCTTCCGCGAACATCTCATCACAACCTAGGAGCCGGCGGAGGCGGCGTCCGAGCCGGCAGCGCTGACCACCGGCGGGATTATGGAGAGGAGAGAGCTCCCGGCTTCTGCTCAGAGAGCGGACGGCAGGCGGCTCCGCCAGTCCGCGGATAGGTCCCATCAACAACAGCTACTGTCGGCTATTATGGAGTCCAACCTCGGATTTGGTGTCAATATTGCACAAACACCGCTTTGCCAACTTAAAATAGCACTGCAAAAGTGTTTGCACACGCGTCTGGATGGAAGAGCGGACAGCGAAAGATACAAATCAACCATCAGAATAAATAAGGGCAGGGGCGCTCACAACGCAGGACGCCGACACACCGATGCGATGAAAATCATACAAGTTTGTACACAAAATGAGATGTAAGTGTCACGTATAACAATGGTCATGAGCTATAAAAAGCGGGGCCGTTATGGGAATAAAATACAGCTGGCCTCTGTGGACACCACACACCGCAGTTCCATGACGACGCACGGCACGCCGCGCCGCGCCGCGCCGCGCCGCGACGAGTCTCGCCGCAGTGTCAGACGCGGCCGCCCGGCGCGACGTCACGTGCCGTCACCGGCGGCTGCTGGGCAGTCCGTCTGCGCCGCGCCACGACCCGCCAAGGCACTGGTGCGCGTGCGCCGCCGGCCGGCCGGCGCGCGCGCCGCAAGTCGCCTCGACTCCGGCCACTAGGTGGGCACGTCCCAAATCTCGTGCAGGAACGGCGGCAGCGGCTTGTGCAGCTTGAGCGACCAGCAGAGTTCGGTGTTCAGCTTGCCCAGCTGGCGCACCTCGGTCAGCACACTGAGCAGCTTGGCGAAGGTGACGCCGGTCGGCTGCGGCCGCTGGCAGTCCACGTACGCCCGCAGCGCCTCCACGTAGATGGACTGAATCCGCTCCACCTTGTCCGGTTCGTGCAGCATGAAGCGGTCTGCCGGCCGACACGAGGGAATGTCAGCGGAGAACACGGGGTGGCGGAGACGGGTTCTCGGCGAAGAACACGGGATGATGGAGGCGGGGCATCAGCAGAGAACCGGGGTCTCAGCAGAGAACACGGAGCGATGAAGACGGGGTTTCAGCGGAGATCGTGGAGTGACCCGCGGAGAAACCGTGGAGCGGACGCGGCGTCTCCGCAAACGTCACGTGGGGCGGAGACGCAGACTCACGTGGAGAGCATGTAGCGACGCGGTTGAAGCACGCAGCGCTTATCACGACCATCTGTGCAAGACTGAGCATACTGCGATCACCGAACTAACAGACACGCCACCGGCAAATGTCCTCACGTCGTACTCGAGCGCGCCCCTGGCTCTCAGTCAGCGCACACCGACACCACCGCAGGGCCGGCGGTCCGCTCCGCTCACCTGAGAAGATGTCGATGGCCGTGAGTAGAGCGTACTCGGCGTTGTCCACCTTCATCTTGCACATCTTCTTGCAGAACTTGAAGTTCTTGTCGATGGTGGCAGCGTCCAGGCCGGCGCGCTCGTACGCCTCGCGCGTGTACGGGTAGTTGTTGGCGAACACGATCGACTCGGTGCCCTCGTCGTAACGGCGCGCGCACCGCAGCATCATCACCTCGCTTGAGCATTCCTGGCGGGCGGGCACGCACGTCAGCCACGGCGACGCTGGCGCCGCGGCGCGGACAAACACGGAACTCGGCACAGAGCTCGGAGTCGGCGTGACGCGGAAACGCCACGGTGAATCATGACAGCCGTTGGGAGAGAGGCTCAGCGGTGTTGATGAGGTGCGATCTTTTGAGGGCGGCATTTACAATATCAATAGATAGAAGGTTCCACGAAGGCAATGTGAGCCCCCTTGGTATCAAGTTGTGGAGCGCAAGAGCTAGAATGAAATATAAATGCGTGGAAATACCGACGTTTAATATCAGTGTAACGTTATTACCACAAACAACTAATAAAAGTACACCAAACACCGGGGCCATTCTACCCTACAAAAATAAAATATAAAACAATTCTGTTTTAGAGGCCTTACGATGACGAGGTGACCACCGACATCAAATCAAATCGCACACCAAAGTCCAATGTGTAACACAATCGCGATGGTAACAGTTGTCGGCTTATTTTATACCAATATGGCTGTTCGGATTAAGTATCGCCGCCCACCCTTCGTAATCAGCGTGGGGCAAATGGGATCGAAAATGAAGACGGATGATTTCAGGAGAACAAGTAACCTTCAACATTTGAATTATCGTGCTTCCCCGAACACGTCATAACTTCACGACTTGAATGCCGATGCCCAAAATGTCGGCAGTCATTTGTACTGATCAAAATCGGCATACGTGTCGCAAAACCAAATTCCTCATACATTTCAGTAGAATTTTCCTATGGCTGAGCAGCGACAAGTTCCAACTAGCTCGATCATTTCGCGTCTTACGAAGGCCGGATACACATCACATTCCCCTGTCAGCTCTGAAGAGGCCGTCTGACCAAGCGCAGTGTGCGCAAAGTTGGAGGTCTGACCTGCTCATGCTTCGCGCAACGGCAATGAACAAGAAGCGACTTCTACTTATCAAACAGCTCGCGAACGGCAAGCCGACGCTCGGCAAAAAGCGGCCGCGCCGGCTCGAAACACGTCCGATGTCGCCCAGTATCCGTTCTCAGCAGCGCGATCCGGCCGGCCTTGAGCGGGCTGTCGAGCCCTGTCGGAATCTGCTGAGTCCGGCAATCAGCTTTATGGCCAGGACAGCCAGTTCTCTGCGGTGACGGAAGTGCTACCCGGCCGCATCCGTGCCCGTCCGGGGCAGAGCTCCAGAGGCCGACAGAGGCGTCACTCGGCGGCAGAGGCGCCGTGTGCGACACGGCCGCGGTACCTCTGGTGTTTGGGTGTTTGGCCGGCAGGTCGGCCGCCATGCGCGGCCGAAGGTCAAGGCCACGGTCGGAGCGCCGGGCGTCAGCTGGCCAGAACGCCGGAGAAATCGCCGCCGGTGTTGACCACTCGCCATGCAGTCAAGCAGAGCCTGCATCGCGTTGGGCCTAGCAAAGCGGGACGAGATTGTTCCGGGCACACAGCATTCCGGCGGCCGCAAGGCGACTGCGGTGCCTGCTGGAGTCCCATTGTTCGGCCGCCACAAGGCCCCACCCGGCTGTCCTCTCACGCGAGTCCATGCCGCCAAGAGGGCTGATTCAGCGCTTCGACACGAGCATCCCCTATGAGGAAGCCGGGACACTCAACACCAAGACGCTTCTGAAGAGGCCACGCCGGCCGATGGAGGACGCGCGCACGGCGGCGGGGTCACGACGAGGTCGGCGGCACCGCGGCCGCCCGCCAGGGGTCAGGGGGGCGGGTCCGGGGCGCCGTGTTAGCGGCGGCAGGAAGCGGCGGCCGGCCGACCGTGGGAGAGCGTGACACCGCACCGGCGGAATGCCGCCGATCGGCGCAGCCGCGCGGCCACCAATAGCGCCACGCTCGACCGAGATGCCCGCGTCGAGTCCGAGCACATACCGGCAACCGGCGGCATTCCTTGAAGCCCACGGAGCGGGCGGAAGTCCGGCCTGAGACGCCGCCGCGCCAGTTTCTGACAAAAGGCACTCTCCGCCGAGTGATGACCTTGGCGAATGGCTGACGACGACCCCCGAACGGGACACAATGCGACATCCTCAGGCGCCGTGCATGCCACTTTGGCCACTCCCCAAATGTCCTCCGTGGCCAACGCGCCTCTCGCCGAGCCATCGTCCCATCTGTCCGTGATGACCTTGACGAAGGGCACTCACATATGACTTGGCTTGCAGGCTCAGCGATTGCGCACCGTTTGTCGCCCGGGACGTCGTGAGCGAAAGGCGCCAAACCGAGTCTCGTGCACGTGATCCGAGGCAGTATGTGGTGTTCTACGGGCCACGTCCCGGCGTCCAAGTCAGAAGTTTTCTCCAGCGGATATCGCGGGTCCTCTCGTCGATGCGGACCTTTCAAAACCTGGCTGCCGCGTGACCGCCCCATCGGTTAGCCCGTTACCCAGAACACCAGTAGCTAACAACTTTTGCCGGAAACTGCAGCTTATGAGCGACCAGCAGACCAGCAACCAGCAGACCCGACCAGAACGTAGTGACGGGTCCCAACTGGCTTATGTATACCGCTGAGGCAAGATGCATGCACTTTACGAATCGATGCATGCATGAGCTGCAGCCACCCTGCGATCGAGGCCGAACGTATTCTTAGTCGGGCGGTCACGACGGGTCGGCTGATAAGACAGCATTTGTTTACCAAATCTTGCCAGCGAATCGCATCTGACCCGAGTGACGCCGATCGATAACCAACCACTCGCTGCAGAAAACGTGCTGCTTTCGGCGCCACCCCCGGCCGCGCCGACGCGGCCCCGGCGGTCTTCGACACAGAAACTGCGGTCCGCCCGGTGCTGTCCCGACACGTGCGACACCTCCCAGCTGAGGGCCGACACGACCGTCACCGGCCCGGCACAGACCTCCACCGCGTGCTAGTCGCGGCCGGGGCTGGCCGGCCGGCCGCCACAGCGGCGCTGACGCCTCACCGGAGCCGCGCGGCCTCGCCGCCACGAGCCCTGAGCCGACCGGGCCGGCCGCGGGCACGCACGGGCGCCGCGCAGGCTGGCCGGCCGCCGCCCGCGCCGCCGCCCCCGCTCGCCGCCGGCACCCACCTTGACTAAGCAGATCTGGTCCTCCCGCGAGAGCTTGTCCTGGAAGCCGGGCAGCTGCTTGGTGAACTCGACGATGAGCCGCAGCGTGAGCACGGTGAGCCCGGTGATCTGCTGACACTGCAGCACGGCCGGGTCCGAGCTGGTCCGCTCCAACTGCCGGGAGCGCGCCGTTCGTGTCACGCTCGGCTGGCCCGCCGGCCGCCAGCGGCCACTACCGACGGCCAGTGGGGACCACTACCGACGGCCAGTGGGGACCACCACAGACGGCCAGTGGGGGCCGACCAGCAGCGGCCACCACAGGCGGCCGGTCGGGCCTGACCACCGGCGGCCACCACAGACGGCCGGTGGGGGCCACTACAGACGGCTAGTGGGGACCACTACAGACGGCCAGTGGGGGCCACCACAGACGGCCAGTGGGGGCCGACCAGCAGCGGCCACCACAGACGGCCGGTGGGGCCCGGCCGCCGCCACCGTCGCCGCCAGACCGGGCCACAGGTCACCAGTCACGAGAGTGTGAGGACATCACGACGGAAAGCGGAGCAGAGCATGAACGGGTGGCATTTCAGTCATGCTACGGGCTGGTATCTGGGAGAGCTTTTCCTACCCGAAGTTAACTTGATCACAACGCGTTCAGTCCTTGCATGTTTTCCCGGTGCTAAGTATTACGGTCACGATATACGCTCATAGCTGATCCACTGGATCTTCCTGGAAGACGGAATTAATGGCAGTGGATTCTGAAAAGGCGGAGAATGGCTCAGAATAGGTTTGCCGCCCCTGATCCATCAGCTGAGGGTGTCATCAATTGAAGGCAGTATCGACCACGCGTAACTAGTGGACTGGCACCGACAGGAATACGCAGAGCAATCTGAAGGGGCGCTGTGTCAGTTCGACACCCGCAGGGATGAGCTCAGAGCTTAATGGTCGGACAGAGCTTAATGGCCGCCTCGAATTGGGAGCACCGCAGCCGGAGGCAGCATGCGCACAAACAAACAAACAAACAAACAAACAAACACACACGCACGCACGCACGCACGCACGCACGCACGCACGCACGCACGCACGCACACACACACACACACACACACACACACACACACACACACACACACACACACACACACACACACACACACACACACACACACACACACACACACACACACACACACACATTCACACACATCCACACAGACGAGAGAAAAAGGTGCGACGGGCGAAGGCCCCCCGACCACGCCAGGCGCCGTTGCCGGCCGCCAGCCGACCCCGGAAGGGCAGCGGTGGCTCGCGCGGGCGCAGATCGGCTTAGCCAGCACGCCAGGCTGGCCCGCTCCCCGAGAGGCCCCGCGGCCCGTCCGGAGCCCCAGCCGGCTTAGTGTTGCACCCCACCGCAAACGGACCCCCGAGCGGGGCACCGCCGACGCTCGCTGCAGCCGGCTCGTCAGCTTACAGACTTTTACGGAAACCGTCCGCCAGATCAAAACGCCACCGGGATGATAAAAATGGCTTAACAAAGCACGCGGAAGGCCTCTGCAGACGCCGGACGCGAAAACACTTCCCCTTAGAGCAAAACGGCTGGCCGAGCGGCGAGTGACGATCGCGACGACACGTCTGCAGCATACAGCGCTCCCAGCGCGCCGGGCAGCGAGCTCGGTCAGGACAAGGTGCCGGCGTCGGTAAGGCTGCAGTAGGGCGCAGCACACACAACAAAACGGCTGCCGACACCGCGCCAGACTCCATCGAGCAACTCCGCACCAGGCAGCCCATCAGAGCGACTTCCCGAGGCCCCAGCGTGCCTGCGACGCCGGGGCGAGCGCGACCAGGAGAAGGGAGCGAGAGGGGGCGAGAGGTGGAGGCTAGGAAGCGCGACGACAGCGGAGCAGGCGGCACCACTCACCGCTGAGCGACGCATGTCCTCCTTGGTGGGCGACTCGTAGTCCTCCTGGTAGCGGACGAGCCTGTTGATGAGCTCGTCCTGCTCGGCCGTCAGCGTCTTGCGGTTGACGGGGAAGGCGAGTGGCGCCGGCATACTGCCGCCGCCGCTGCCGGCCGCGCCCGCCACCGACGGCGACGAGCCCTGCCGACGGCGGGGAGAGGCGTCACCGTCACCGACGCGGACAACGCGGCGGCGGCACTACGACTCCAGAGCTGGCGGTGCGACACCGGTACGGCGGCGCGACGACACGGACAGCACTAGACCGAAGCGGGCAATCGCGGACACCGCGACATTGCGATAGCAAAATCGCACCATACAATGGCATCAACGACACAGACGGTGTTGCGATGGGAACATCACCACGACATCACAGCACGACACCAGCGCTGATAACAACGCACACGCGCCGACAACAAAACCGGTTGGGTCGGGAGCCGGGTCGCGGCGGGAGCCGAGGTCGGGTCGGGAGCTGGGATCGCAGAGGAGCCGGTGTCGCTTCGAGAGCCAGGTCGCGACGGGAGCCGGGTCGCGGCGGGAGCCAGGGTCGCTTCGAGGGCCGGGTCGCGACGGGAGCCGGGGCCGCGTCGCGGACCGGGCGGAGCGGCGCCACACTCACGGCGGAGACGAGCCGCTGCCGCTTGGTGTCGGCCGGCGTGTCCTGCGCCGACGTGGTCGAGTTGGGCCGGTCCCGCTCGCGCTGCGCCTTCTTCGCCTCCCGCTTGACCTGGCACTGGTACTCCGGCACCACACCTGCGGCGAATGGCCCGGTCACAATGGTGATGGCCCCCGGCCACACTTGTGGTGGACCCCGGTCACAATGGTGATACACTGGGGATAGTTCCCGTAAAAATGGAATGCTGAAAAACCCATGCTCTGGATGTTTCTGAAAAATGTGATTGATCGATTGCCTGATTGATTGATTACAGGCTGCCCGCGGTCGCCAACTTCAACACAACACACGACACGACATTACGACGAACACAATAGCGAACTCTACGACACCACGTCTTTAAAAATAAAACTATGTTCCTTACGGACGCAGCTGAATGTGTGGAACTAAGTGTCGCAAGTTACCACACCAAATGTGCGATAGTCAGCGAAGCCCCACAATGATCGATTTTCGAACTCCGGTACGTTGTCGTCGGGGCTATTCATGCTCACAAGCCGGCAACTTTGCCGCCAGTGACAAGTATAACCCCCAATGCCTGTGGTAAGAAGCATGTCTCCCCCCATTGTAGGAAGCATGCCTTCACCCATTGTATATGGATAATGGAAACATTCCCTGCCAATTTGCAGGTGCTCAAAAAATAGTTAAAGCCTCGAACAATAGAGAGGATCTGCTACAGTCTTCCCTAAACTTTCCGCACACGGAGCTCACAAAGCCTTCCAAACTTCACATCAGAAGTACTTGAAACCACAGCGCTGTCCCAAAATCATCAAACGTGATTTCAACGCACTATCGGACACAATCCGCGCACGCAATGCAGAACCGGGGCCCAAGCGCAGCGCGCATCAGCGCGTGTCTGCGACAGCGGCGCCATCATTCATCACGCCGTGAGAGCCTCGCGCTGGCGGCGCGCGTGGCCTCCGACCGGGTCCGGTCCTCCGACCGGGTCTGTCGGGTCTGTCCGGACTCTGAATGGTCCTCCGACCGGGTCCGCCCACCGGCCCGGGCCGGGCCCTGCAGTGCGTCCTCCGCGGCGACACCGCGGGCGAACGGCCCGGCGCCCTTGAGCTTGACCGCCAGCGGTTCAAGGACGTGCAGATCCAATCCACCGACGGCACGGCTTTGCAACAATCTCCGAGCGGGTGATAAGCCGGAGGCGGAACAAACGCGGCGAACGGACGCCGCTACCCGGCCGGCAAGCGTCGCTTGACGCGGAGCTGACATGTGACGGCTCGGGCGCTGATGGCCAGGTGAGAACATGCCGCGCCGGTCCTAGGGGGAATGCGTTGGTTTGTGCCAACACCATCTTCCTCAAGATGGAGCAGTTTGTGGCAAAGTGTGGTCGCCTCGACGCGGTGAATGTGATCTCGGAAGTGAAATAAGACTGTTTTGGAAGCCAACGGTCCTCCCATTTTCGTTTCGTTTAACTTCGAGGCTCTCAGCAGAGCAAATAACAACACCTGACAGCAAGAGCTGGGTAAAAGTGTCTTCCGTACAAGATGTACGTGGTTCGGGAAGAAGCGGCCAATCGGATAAACGCCGAAACACACAAACATTCCCCAAAGATGTTCCTGAGCTGGGATCCGATTACCGCCACAAAGGGTAGTGCACTGATGCGTTTAAACGAGCACCTCAACATGCCCGTAAGCCTCGGTCGAGCTTCGGAAACGCAGCTGTAACGAAAGCGACAACCACTACTCAAAATGCACAGCCGGTGACCGGACAGCAGAAGGATCTGCTCGCGAGCCTAATTGGATTTAATCTTGCACAAGTAAAACCCTTAACGGTCATCAGATCACTTCACGTGTCACAGTCGTCAGACAATAATCCCGAACGGGCAGCGAATGCGGAAGCGATTACAGAGGGGACCCGACCCCCTCCCCTCCGGGGTTTTCCAGCCGTGTTGGTGACATACTGCTCCCGAGAGCCGCAGGTCAGCAGGCTCCTCGCGAAGGTCATCGGCACGCTGACCCCAGCTCGGCTGCCATACTCACATTCCGTTCTCATCCCGACGGCGATGCATTTCTTCAGCCGACACTCTTGGCATTTCCTCCGCATGTACATGTCTATTTCACAATTTTGGCCATATTTGCATACATACACTGAGTCTTTCGTCACGCTTCTTCTAAAGAAACCTGAAACGAAGGGCGTTTAGCGTTAGACGCCACGTGCCGCAGTCCACAACGGGTCAGCAGTAGCCCGAATGTACACAAATCCTGCCGCAGAATTGCCGGACAGCTCGGCCATGTTTGTATCAATCCCCCTGTCCGTCGGCCAATCAGCGTGTCGCGTTTACCAAGCCCCCGTCCCCAGCCCGTCCGCCCGACCTACCCCTCACGCACACCAGCCCGCAAGCGGCCGGCCCGGAAAGCGGCGCAGGCCCCACATCACGCGAGCGTCGCCCCCCCCCCCCCCCCCCGGCCCCCGGCCCCCGGTGCACGGTCCAGCGCTGCGCTCTGTTCCGCATTGCCGGCCGCTGCATCACCGGCCGACCTTGAGGAAACGGCGCCGGTGGCGGCGCCGCCGGACGCTTATCGGCGCCCGGTCGTGACGGCGTGACGCCGGCCGCGCCAGACGTCACGACGCGTCACGCGAGCGGCGCGCAGCCGCAGCCTTCGCGGCCGAGACGGTCGGACGCGTCACTGCAGTCGTCACTGGGCATGGCGTAACGACGGCAGCCTTCGGAAGCGAGGTGGGCTCACCACTGCAGCCGTTACGTTTGAGGGGGGGGGGGGGGCTGGTGCAATGACCGCAGTCTTAGCAGCCGTATCTTTAGAGGCGTCACAGGGGGCTGAACATGTGTCTTCATGGAGCCTCCCCCGTCTTGCTTTCACGGCATTCGTGGATAATACGAGTGTACCTCCAGAGGCCCCACATGAGTCTCACCTTTTCACCCCTAGTCCGAGCAAAATGCCACCTGCACAGCCGTCTCCAGCGAGCGTACACTCACCTTTACAGCCTTCGCAGGTGAGTGCGTTGTAGTGGTAGCCGGAGGCGCGGTCGCCGCAGACCAAGCAGAGCTCCTCGTTCTGGCGCGGCGCCGGACCCTTCTTCTTCTTATCATCCATGCCGTACTGGCCATTACTGCAGGGTGACGCCAGCTCGTCGGGGCCTGCGGCAGACGAGGTCACCGACCGGTCAGGCACCGGCTCATCATCGCACCACTAATGACCTGGCGGGGACTGGGGCAGCGGGTATTTGACTAAAACGGTTCCACATGAAACCACGGGCCAGCGGCTTCTCACAAAACCAAGGACTTCGAAAATCATCGGCACCTTGCTAGTCTAATCAATACGCTCAGGCAGAGTAATGCAGAGTCGGTGCCAGCGATTTCTCATGCGCAAGCTATGCGTAACACTTGGTGAGCAGCCGGCCACAAAGCACTGTCGCATGCCGCGGGGTCAACGCGCCGGTTCAAGGTGACGCGGCGCTCGGCTATCCGAGTGACCGCGACTGGGGCCGCCGAGGTCTCATCCGACCTGCACGCTCTCTCCATGGCCCGATAATCGTATGACTTCCGCACGGTCAACAACCGTCTCGCGGCAAATCCCACTGATTGGATTAGGGAATAGCTGTCGTCCTCCGACCGGTTTCGCTGCGGTCGGTTGACGACTGGAGCAGTTCCGCCTCTGCAGCCGCGCCGCCGCGTCCGCGGCGCCCCGAACATTTTTGCCGCATTAGCGGGGGCCAGGGATTTATGCAACGCGGACGTTAATAAGTTACCACACCGGTAGTATTAGCCTCGGCTCAATCCGATTTGGGCGTCCGACATTCCCCGTTGCTGACGACGTTCATGGCATTGACCTTCGGCTCTGGCGGCTGCCGGTTTGCGACCGGGCTCGGCAGGTCGGGCGGCGGCAGGTTCACGGATCCAGCTCCCGCGAGATTTCCATACATTAGTGGCACGGCACTGCGCGCGCCTGGACCGCCACTCGGACTTGACCGTGGGAACGACCGTGCCCTGAGTGCCGACGTTCGCGTTCGCCCCCCTCCCCCCCCCCCGCCCACACTGTTGGCCGGGCCCGATTGGCGAGACGGGCGGAAGCAGGCACGCTCCCGCCGCCACCGACACGGAGCACGTCCGCCAACACCGGCGCCGGCTCAAGGAAGGGTGGCCGGTCCACGGGGCCGTCCCGGGCCAGGCTGCCACCTGAGCCGGGGGGGGGGGGCGGCCCCGGAAACCCCGTACGCCCCCCCCCCCTCGGCGCCAACCCTGAGCTCTCCGCAGCACGACCGCCAGAATCGCCGCAAAATGGCCCATTCATGCCCGCCAATGGACAGCCTTTCTGCTGAAGTGGCACAAGAATTTCGCGGCTTGTGTATCCGATTCTTTCCGTACGAAGCCGGCCTTTGTGGGTGCACCCATACTGGACCGGTGGCTCTCCGCGGGGAAAGGACCTCCATTCAGCGGACAAAGCGCCCGACAGAGCCGTTTAAAGGGGCGCAGGCGAGCCCACGGAACAGAGTGGTCTAATCACCAGCCCACTATCCCACGGCCAACGAAATCCGATCGACGGCATGTAAATGGTGCGCAAATGATGCTGGAGAGTGGCCTGCAGATTGGCCTGGAGTTTCGCAAGCGAGGGCGGACACATTCATCATACTAATTGACACCAGTGAAAGCAAATGAGCCGAGGTCAAACGGGTCTCGGTGAAGCGACGCAATCGATGAGCACATAGTGCTAGCATCACCGCATATAGGTGCGGGCACTCCATCTCGGCACATGGGTACAGCACCACAGGTGCGAACAGCTGCTTCAAAACCGGGCGCTGAGGCACATCACCAGCGCATCCGGCAGCTCCGAACCGCACCATCGCCCCCCCCCCCCCTCCCCCCCCCCTCCCGGCCGCCGGACGGAGCCACCGTGCGCGCGGTGGCCCTCCCCTCCTGGCGCGTGGGGACCTGCGGCGGTGGAGGTCAGCGCCACCGGACCGTCACGGCGTCACACCGGGCCGGCGCGGCACGGCACGAGCGGCGGCGGCGCTTGACGAGCGGGCGATCCCGGTGCCGCTGGCCGAGCCTGGTCGCTCCCCGCTCCCCGCTCCCCGCCGCCGCCGCCCCACACGCCGATCGGCACGACCCGCGGAGCTGCGCGGCGCGCGGTGACGCGGAGCCCGGCCGGTCTGCGTGGATTGGCGACCAGCATCCCGCTGAGACCAAACAGACATACGGAGTCTGGTGACTGGGGCCTGGCCACGGCCTGGTCCGGCAGTAGACCCGTCCGGCACACAGACCACTGTGGCAAACACACTGGTCCACTCACAGACTGGTCTGCTCACAGGCTGGTCTGGCGAACAGACTGGTCCGCCTACATACTGGTCAGGCGAATGATCCCGTCCCGGTCGTATTGGACGGGGTCTCCCACCCCGTGAGGCGCCTCTCGGTCGGCCGGCCGGCCAGCTCCCGCTCGGGGAAGTGCGCAGTACATGAGGCCGTCGGCCCCGCCTGCTGACTAAAGGCACTGACATAATTCCGGCCATCCTCTAAATTACGATGCATCTTTTTACTCATCTCATTCTGGGCCTGGGAAGGCCATCCGGTGCAATAAACGCTCTGGCCTGCCAGGAGAAAAAATCGGCAATTTCGCCGCACAAAAACAGGCGGCAAAACACTGGGAAGGAAGCCGCCAGACGCCCAAAAACCACGCGGCGAGTCAGGCACATATCTGGCCATTCAACGCGCATTAAATCCACACGTAGTTCTGGCGTCAGCAAAACAACCAGAGACAGAACATGAAACGCGCCGACCCGCCAAGGACATCAAAACCGGCCGATGGCTGGCGCCATCAGTCCGCGTCGATGCCAGGTGACTCACACCCCGCACGCGCCACACGGCCCGCGCGCGACACCGCCTGCAAATCACCGGCTCTCGTATGCACGTGCGGCGCGGCGCGGCGCGAGATGGCACACTGGCGCATATCTTACTGACCAGCTTTCCCGGCCGTGTCAACAACCGGGCCGGGTATGCGGGGAGGGTGCGGCGCCCGGTCGGCCGGTCGGTCGGCCGGTCGGCCGGCCGGGCGGCTGGCCAGGCGGGAGGGCTAGACGCCGCGCGGCGTCGCAGTCACCAGCGACTGCCACGCTCCGCAGAAGACCAGCCGATTGCCCGCCGGCGAGCGGCGGTCAGTGGTGCGGGACGCCATCTCCGCCCGCAGCGTCCTCGACGGGACACGAGGTACAGCCACCACGACCGATCCAAGCCAGCGCAGAGGTGCGTTGAGTACGTTGGGTCATCAATCCTGCCGCCTGGATGCCGACATAAAACAGCAACAGGTGGTGACGGCGCCTCAGGCGGCTCTGAGCTGACACGGGAACAGAACGGCCTAGCACCGCAAGTGCCCAATTCATCTTGGAGTTAAATTAAGCCCAGTTAAACCGTGGCTAATTACAATCTGCGGCATTGTAGTCGTGAACCTTCTCATGAACTCTCCCAAGGTCGAACCAATTAATTGAGGCTTCGATTGAGGAGAGAAGAGGCAGGAAACCAAGGCAGACTAATACTTCTGCACACGGTGGCCGATTTTAAGCATGCAGAGATAACACCGTGCATTAAGCCGTTTAACTGACTTGTCAAGCACCGTGGACACTGATGACAAGCAGACACGGCGGAACTGGCAAACAAATAACGCTGTTTGTCGAACAAACGACGCAGTTTCGACTTACATGAACATGATTACGGACGTCAAATTTCGTGTATGCCCATCGCGTGCTCAGATGTGTTGATTGGCCGCGATAAAATTCTGCATGAATGAGCTGAAGCAAAGAATTCCAAACATCCCCTAGCGTGCTGGCTGCGACCGAACGTAAGCTCGCGTGACAGTTAAGTGCGGGGCCCGTAAGTCCACGGCACGGCAGAGTACGGTTCTCAGCGAGAGGCGCTGGATTCTCACGTAACCTGGCCCCGCCCGCAGAGGACAGCACCGCGGGACCGCAGGACTCCGGAGGACCGCCCCGCCGTATCCCAGCGCGAGAGTTGGACCAGAAGAGCGAGCGGTGGCTGCGGCCTCTGAGGGACGGGGGAAGGGGGGAGGGGGGAGCAGCGCGAGCGCGTGCCCACCGCCCGATCGGCGGCGGCCCCGGCCATGACCTAACCCTGGCCGACGGGGTCGGTCGGCGGCGGACGCGGCGCGGCCGGCAGCGGCGGCGGCAGATGGCGCGGTCGTGACGGCGCGCCGCAGCCGCGGCGACAGATGGCCCGACGGCCGCCGACAGCGGCGCCGCCTCACCTTGGGCTGGCTCCAGGTGGGCCCGCGGCGCGCACGACCGCCGCGCCGCGTCCGTCGCCGGGCGCCACATCTGCTGCCTGACAGCGCGCGACCAAGTCGAGACTTTCGCTGAGCGCTGCTGTTCTAGCAACGAGAGGTAACAGGCCGGCCATAATGCACTCGTTTCTGAGTTGCGCACCGATGTAGCAAAGCGATTTGAATGCAAAAACGAGCCTGGTCGAAGTTCTTGAGCTACGTCCCGTGCACACCTATACAACACGAAAACGTGTCATTGAGTTGCACACGTTTTAGCTCATGATCTTTGAAAACGACAGTTTATTGTAGCTTAGGAGTCCAGCCCGCTGGAAGGCTATCACGTCCAAGCCCAATGGATAGGCAATTAGCCCCTCGCGTATCAATCCGGGGCCAGGAGAGGAGGCGCACGGCCTTGAAGACACAATTATACCCTCGCCATTGGAGCCACTTTACAGCCGGCGGTAACAGACGGCCCAGGGGCGGACGGCAGAGCGCAGGAGATAGCACCATCCCACCGGCGGCCGCTCAGGTCTGCTCCCTCTCGGAGTGGAGCAACAGGAAGGTGTTCATCCCCCGAGTAGACAGACATCAGCGGCCAGGCAGGGCATGGGGCCCTTCATGCCACAGTATAGTACTCGACGGCTCGACGGCGAGCCGAGCCAGCGTTTTATGGCCTCCTACATGGGAGGTCGATCGCATCGAAATTACCTCAAACTGCATTTGCATGGAAGGATCGCCCCATCCGCGAGCCAGAATCACCCGAGATGGACTCTAGCTTGTCGCGAGCATCAATCACTCCGCCCAAGAAGGATCCTGTCCAAAGCCGGATCCGGCCACGCACTTTGGGGCCGAATTCCTCTCAGGAGTGGCG